ATTTCAGCAAATTAAATCAACTTAGAGATATAACCATGTATTGTATTAGGGCCAAAAATATGTATGTACAGCTGCTTTACTATAAAGATGCGACTTTCCATTTCAGTGGTCCGCAGAAGTGCTACTTTGGGATGGTGGGTCATGGAAATTCAGTCTGAATTCACTTCAAACCTTTGTAAGAGGCATTTGGTTACAGTCAACTTCAGAATCCTACCTGGGTTTATATGATTTACTACTGTATGCCTTTCTGTTTCCTAAAATTGAATCCAAACATAATTTGGGTAAACAATTCTTCAATCTGTGAAAAGTTTTAGGTCTCTAAAGTCACACTCCTTTTGAGAAATGTATTAAAACTGGTTTGTTTTTTTTTCATCATAGAGGTGTGAAAAGGATTAAGTCCAACTTGACTTCTTTTGGACTTAATGTGGCAGACTGTTTTGCATACAGTCTGTTGTATGTTGTGTATGTATGTACATGCATGTTGAATTACAGAATTTCAACAAGAATTACAGAATTTCAACATGCATGTATGTACATGCATGTTGAAATTCTGTAATTCTTTGATTTCAGCTCTGCCAGAATCATTCTAAAAACTGTAAAGGACGCAGAATGCAGTGGTGAAAGCAATACCTGCCACTGGTAGGAACAGCCAGCATTTTCTTTAATTTCTAAGTCTTCAAACCTTTATTCAGCATTCATAATTTTACTTCATTTTGGCCATAATCTTAAATGCTTCCAAACTCACTTGTGTTTTATTTGCTGAAGTACGTTTAACTGAGTTTTTTGTATGATGTACAGTGCTGACTCTTCTACAAATTTTTCAGTAAGTATAAAAAACATCATAAGACATATTGACTATTAATTACCAATGCAACCTATATTATTTAATCAGAAAGTTCAATTTCCTTAGGCATTGGAGAAATAAGAGAGGCTGCTGAGAAATACTTTTTTTTTAAATGACACTACATCTTTTGAGTTTACTTGGTAAACTCAAGTCATAAATGTAGTGGAAGATGAAAACTTACAGTTCTGAGTGGGTCTAGTCATTAGAAATAGTTAAAAGCATCACATAATTTACACTGCTTGTTTACAAGACAAGCAGAAATGGCAACAAATAATATTAGATGTGGACTTCTAGAAATTTCAAATGAGAAGAAATTTTCAACATGTTTTGTATGATTAAGTAGACTGATTTCTTTAATGGATATATTGACTAAAGTGAATGAAAACCACAAGCTTTCAGTACTACTGAAAACCGAGACTATTTTTGTTAAAGATACAAATAAAAATTTAAGAGACAGGTATGACTCTATATAGCATGTTGCTTATTGCTTCAAATAAACCAGATCAGGAAATGACATGAAATGCAACATTATTTTTGCCAAACACAATTTAGCGGAAAATCTCTGATAAAATCCTGTTCTGAAGAGGAAAATCTTGTTCCCTATCCAAGTTTGGAAGAGAAAGAGAACAGGTTCTTTTATAAATCTTGCTACTGGAAACACTAGAGGCTTTCCCAGTTGTACATGATTGAGAAGGGATTCTGCAACAGACAGGTACTCACAAATCTAAGCTTGTTCTCAACTAGATGGTCTGTGAGCCAAACCCAAAACAACTTTTGGAGGCTGATCATTTCTCTGTATAAAACACTTAATGTCTTAAGTTTTATTGCAAATGACAGAAATATATGACCAGTTATTTAGGCTCTCTTGCTGCTTTTTGAGGGAATTTTTCAGAGAAAAAAGCATGTTTTTGAAGTCCCAGACACATAAAAGAAATGTGGCAGACCACTTCTATTGCCAAGCTAACAGATAAATTTCTGGGTAGACCTTACTAAAACAAAACTTGATAAAACTTTCATGAAAGAATGAAAAATCTTTTTATTATTGCTTCACATTCTTTACAGCTCCAAATCTCTCCTGACCCACAAAATAGGTGTATATTGTTAGTTTAGAAAATCAGTTGTGCTAATTACTAGTATCATTATATCTGGTATTTCAGGGGTTATGTGTTTACCTGAGAATTTTGGATTTCATTAAAAAAGTAATATTCTGGTTCTTGACCACATAGTTTTCTGTGGAAAGCTAGAAAACATTAACTCAAAGGAATTAAAGAGGAATAAACATATATTTGTAGCTGTGATGCGCTCGAGAATTTGAAGTAATTTTAAAAAATGTTTTTATTTTCTTAGTCTGCATTTTGTGTTGCAAAAGAAGAAATTACTGCAGTCAGACATCCCAGGTTCCCCCTTTACAGCTCAGCAACTTGTGTTCATTTTTTCTCCCTTCATGAACAGAAGCTGTGGTTAGGCTACACTTGATTTTCTGTGAAAACCTTGAAAAGTGATTTAATCTCCATGTATTTTATTTCCCTCATTTCTAAAAAGGGGATGATAATAATACCTACATAATTTAAATGTTTAATGGGGCTTAGTTCAGTAATGACTGTGCAGCATGTAGAGCTCCTTGACTGGACAGTACTATAGAAATTCTAAGTATTATTATTACACAGGAGTATTCCAAAAGAAAATAATGCAGTAGCGAATTCTTTAATAAAAAGACCACTCAAATTTATATGGCATGATATTCTATAAAAAAGACAAAGAAGTTGAAATAGTTTCCTACTATTGAATTTAACAACTGCTCCTCCCACTACATCGCTCTCATCTTGGGTCCCAACTGCATGTAAGCTACACATTCAATTCATCCTGCAATTGCAAAATGGAAGGAAACCACCTCAAAAGTGAAATAAGGGCTTTTCCTAAGGCATAACTGTAATTTAAAGCATAACATTATGGAATGAAAATCAATGGCAATGTTGAGTTTATTTTATTAAAAATGTTTCCCTGTGTACAGTGGCTGTGTGTATTGGGATGGTGCATCACAGTAAATTTCCATTAAGAAACAATGATTCACTTACCACAGTGAAAGCAGTAATAAGGTTAAACTCTTAAGTGGAAAGTAAGTCAAACTAAACCCCAGCAGGTTTTCTACTAGTGGCATAGCTAATGTTTTTGAAAATGTTCTAAATGTTCTCTCTCAAATATATGTATTGTACATTGCAGTATTGTTAATTATATCCATTTTCTCTTTTATACACTTCCCCAGGAGATCAGTGAAGAATGGAAAACTTACTTATAGTGAATTTCAAATTTAATGAGACAAAGATGGGTTCAATATATGTGACAAAACCATGTCCTCTCACCATATTTGATAGGTAATTATTTTTTATACTCTAATGGCTACCATTTTGAAAATAATTAATGTATTATTTGTGTAATTAATAGATAATCAACCAAGTAAGGAAATACTCTGGCTAAATCATGGTGAATAACACTATACTGATGAACATCTCTAGATCTTTTGGAATTATATAATCTCATATATGTATTAAAAGCTTAAATTTGCTAGATTTATGCACAAAATACGTAAGATTGGCATGGTATTACTCTGTGTGTTTGTATATATATACATATATATACGGATATTAAAAAAATTAGATTTAAAAAAAGCTTGCCTGAAATTAGATTCTAAATACATAGTTCTGCACTTAAATAAATGTCAGAATTTTCTACAGAAATAAAAATGTCCAGCATTTCCTATGGAAAATATGCATCTATTGCTGTGAAGTTCTGTATGTCTACCAAAAGTCCTACCTAATCGCTTGCTTTGAAGTTTGCTGATAGATCAAACAGAATCATCATAACTTTTTTCCCCCATTAGCAGAAGACTGCAAATCATTAAAAAAATAGTGTTGCTGTCATAATAAAGCTTAACATTGCTTTCAAATGGATAAGTTTCAGGAACCTGAAAACCACTGACTTGACACAACCTTCTCACTAATCATCATGATTGAATAATGAAGAGTTAAGAAAGACTAAATGGGAAGGAAATTATATTTCTGCTATTGTTTTTTTGAACACTTGTACAAAACAAAGTACGTTTAGAAGTGTTGGTAACATACTCTTTGAAGTGTATATTTACAAAATTGTCTGTCCCCTTGAGACTGCTGATGCCCTAGACACCCTGGTGTACTAGTGGAAGGGAAAAAAACCTCTTTACCTCTAAAGCTCAACAGTGAATTGTGATTCCTTTCTTATTCTTTGGTCAAAGATCACTCACAGAGTAAAGTGACCTGTAATGATGACTTGGGTGAGGGTTTATCTAGAAACTATGAACAGAAGAAAATTGCACAGTTCTACCAAGGGCTAAATTAGCCCTTTTTCCTGAATGATAGCACTACTTATGGGGAATGGAACAAAACATGCAACCTCCACTAAGTCAGTTGAACACTGAAGGCCAGCTGAACACTGGCCTTCAGTTGAATATTTATTCATTTGAATAAAGCATTGTGACTACAATCTTTTCCCTCTTTTCTATAAATCTCAAGGCTTAGGCTTAGGATGTGGCCTAGATCAATGCAAATCTCATAGTGTATATGTCTTTTCCACTTATCTAGTCACCACAACCTTGACTGTTTTCTCATGTATGCTAAATTTAGCTCACTGTAATTGTTACCTCAGTTAGGCTGTTCTTGACTCATATGTGCAAAGACATAGGTTATTAAACAGATGATCACACAAGACCTTAATTGCCTTATGCTGAGTGAAATTCAGAGTGAAGCTTTCTGTGACAAAATTCAGCTGCTTTTTTTTTTCGCCCCTCCCCATTTCAGGGACATTGGAAATAGATCATCTTTAGGGTCTCCTCCAACCCAAACCATTCTATGATTCTATGTTTTATAGTAAGGTAGAAGGAAAGAATACTATTGGTTTTACCATTGTGGTGCAATTAGCCCTCTAAAGACGTCTTTTGCGGAAAATATTTATAAAATAAATATTACTGTAAGGATCAATAAAATAAACATGAGTGAACACATAAATTAAGATGAAAATATATAATTAAATATATACATGCATTGCATTATGTTATGTAAAAGATAAATATTTTATCCCACCATAAAGAGTTTCTCTATGAAAGCTATGATAGATTTTTTATTACCTTAAAATATTGCAGTTGTTTCTCAGCATTCATTGTTCCTTCATTTTCTTGTCTCAGACAGGAATTGAAGATGAAAAGCTCTGTATCTCTCAGCCACCCTTTCAGCTCTTTGATCCTGACCTCCAGCTGCCTTACCAGGCTGCCGCTTTCAGGCGAGAGCAGGTCACGTGGACCTAACCCACTGTGCCCTACCATTGTGTCTTGGATCTTCTCTCCTAGGGTTTTCTAATGCATCAGATAGAAAAAAAACATAGATTAGTCTTATGTACCAAAACATATATAGGTTGATGTGCAACAAGAAGAATCTGTTAAATGACTAGAGATGTGTTTTTAATAATTATGACTAATATCAATCAATTTCATTCTTTGCTTCCTTGTTTCAATACATTTCAATTTTTCTACCTTTGTTTCTCACTTATGCTGTTCTCTCTGGGTCACTGACTTTGATAGAAGTATTATAAGTTAGTGTCTACTATGAGTAATTAATGACAAAGGAGTCAAAATTCTTCATAACTTTGTAAACTAGTTACTCTACAGAATTTGTCTGTGGCTTTAGACACTTATGGCTCAGAGTATAAGACCAGTATATAACTAGTATATAACTAGTATAAGAGTTATCGGTTTCTAGGCAGCAACAGAAAATATGACAATCACTGAGTTCACCAGATTCCTCTCCAAGGTACCATTTAAATTTTTGTAGAAACACTGAGATATTTTTTGAGGTATGAATTGTTAGGTTATAATTTTCATTCATGTAGCCCTGAGGCTGTATAGAGGAACTGTTAGGTCACAAAAGCTGGTTTGTTTTTAAAAGTGGTTGAACTCATTCAGACACCAAAAATCCTCACTGTTCCTGAACATAAGGCAAATTTTTTAGGCAACCAAATTTGAATTTAAGTTCTCTGTGTTAAGCATCCACTTTGAGATAATGGACCAGACTAAATGTTCGTCTATTATTGCTAATGAAACTAATTTACTCCAGCTTTTCAAAGTAGTATTTCTAATAACAGAATCACTGAATAACATTTTGATAATGGACACTGGGTGCTTAATGAATATTCTGAAGAGGACAGGGATAGAAAGTTACCTTCCTTTTCAGTATTTTGAAAGGCAATCCTTTAACAACAGAAGAGAGAAGTGCTGTTGCCTGCTTCTCCTAAGCCAAGCAGCATTTTATCTGACCTGTAAGAGGCTGTCAGGCTGACACTTATTATAAGCACTAGATCTGTGTTACTGATTGTAGAATATTGAATATACACTACACTCACATCCAATAACCTTTTAAACTGATAATTAGTGGTGGTTAATTGTTGTAACATGAAGATACAGTTTTAGGTGACCCAGTATGTCTGTCTATTGGAAGTGCATGCTATAAAAGTTACTTGGAATATAATTTATAACAAGGAAATTAGCTTCCAAAAATAAGCTTTAAAAAACAAGTAAAATTAGAGCAACAGATATTAATCTGCTATGTGGCATTCTGTAAATCACATATTTAGGAGATCATGACTGAAAAGATGCTTTCTTGGCAACACCCTTCTATTTTCATGGTGCAAATATTGATAATTTGAAGACCCTCAGTGGAATCCAGCACTAGCTATTGTTTTTATGCTGCAACAAAAGTAGCAGCAGGAGGTGAAATCAATGCCCTTGGAGAGTAGGGTCACAAAAAAGAATTTATTGCCACTTTTTTGTTCTGGAACAGTTTGCAATCATAAATTCTTCATAAACAGAATACTTCAGAGAATGGTCCGTCTTCATAAATATACGACAGAGGACATCAATTTCATTTAATTCACAATTTGTGTCAGCACAGCAGATGCCAATGCCTGCCTTGATAGGGTTGTTTAATATGCAATTGAGACAGAGTAATATTCAGCACAGGGGACAAAATTTCACAGATTAAACTGTACGCACCACTGACATTTCATTCTAATGTATTTCCATTCCACAGTGTTCACCTTAGATGAAAGTAATATTAAAAACCATATCCCTCTATTTTGCCATTGTTAGAAGTTAAAATCCTTGTCTTTAATTTTTTTCATGCCAATTAAAATGTAATCATGCCAATTAAAACAGTATGTCTAGTGCTGTTAGTTTCTGCAGAGGTTTTTATTAAATTAAACAAAACTCTATCAAACTCTGCTTATTATTCATGAAACTACATTTAGCAGAAACACAGTAATAGTTATATTTTATTTTTCTGTAAATGTTGAAATTAATGGCAAAACTTAATATGGAGGTATGTCTTGATTTTAACATACTGAGAAGCAAAGGGCTTCAAATTTTTTAAGACAGTTTTCCTAGATTTTAAGAATTATGATCTTATTGCATAGTTTTATATCCTACCAGCTTAAATCAATGCCACTGAATTAAGCTGATTAAATACACTGAAATTCATAAATGTAAGGCTTACGTCTGAAATTATTTTTAAAATAAAAGTTGTCATGATCAGATGCAAAAGATTGGGTTATTAAGTCCTTTCGAAATCAGTAAATTTATTAACAATCAAACAAGTTCAACATGCTCATGGCGATGTTGCAGATTAAAATGAAAGGTAATAACCTCACTGGTCATAAGGCAAATTTTAACATTTTCTGACAATTTGCACATTTAGAGAATCAAGTGATTAGAAGCAACTCTGATTAACTAAAAAAGCCCCACCCTCTGAAAAGGCTATTGCATTACCACATCACCTAAAGTGACACAAGTCAGTATTTAAAATGCTGTTGACAGGCTACATGTATATCTTACTCATAATATATTAGAAATATTTTTTAAACTAGGATAATAGCATGCAAAATTATGCAATGTAACTGTATTGCTAATATCACACATCTATAATTAATCATTTAAAGTAATTTATAAATTTATCTTACCCTTGATTTGAAGTGAAGGCAATTAAGGAGAGAAGTGGATGGAAAAACATATAGTTTGACCTCTCTCTCTCAGCTGTTTTACAACAATAGGACAATAGTGTCTCCTGCACAGTGCCATCACCAGTCTCTGGGTAACAGAATCCCTATATTGCTTTTTTTGCCAGATTCTTGTATCTCACTCTTTGGCTGAGACCCAGCCCATCATAGCGTGAAATGAATTACATGAAACTTTTTTGGCTTTTTTCAAAAGTGAGATGAATACAGCAGCATGAAACATATCCTGGCTGTATTCTCAGATTCAGGTATGCAGATTTGTACTGAATCTGTATATTTGTTTTTGAGCCATCAGTGTGACCTGAAATATGCAGTGACAACCCCACTTTTCATCTTAAAGGTATAGTAAATAGTTAAACAGTAGATGTCTCTAACATGTACCTTCAGAATAAATTCTATTAACATTCACTCAAGCATGACAGTCAGTGTATATCAGATATACTGCATTATAGTTGACTTGGTGCATACCCATAATACATGGCATATTTTACTTACATTTTTTATGTATTAAAGAACTAAAATTATTAAAGTCAGACAGGAGACAAGCATGGAATAAAAAAAAATCAACAGAAGAGTAAAAGGCTATGGAGTTTTTATAATAGAATGAGTAGCTTGTTTGAAATATACGTGGTGGATTGAAAGAGAGATATTTGCGCTCCAAATTAGAAATCAGACAGACAGTGTACTTCAACACACAAAAATGTACACATAACCCACAAACAGTAATAAAAATGCAAATACCCCAAGCAGTTCCCATTTTTCATTAATTGAATCCACTTTTTCAAGGAGATCGTTTGGTAGTAAAACACCACTTTTCTTCAGAGCTTCAACCTTACTAAGAAGTTCCATCTTTTTTGGGTGCCTGATTGACATTTCTACATTGTATCTCTAAAATGAAAAGAAATGTATAGTATTAGCTGCTGTAGAGAGTTTTCTCCATAAAAAAATAAAATTTAATTGTATGCACCTGGTTATGATCATGCTCCATCTGACATTTTCTCATTTTCTTTTTTTTAAGCACACAATCTTCTCATAACATATCATAAGAGATTTTGGGTACCAAGCACGAAGAGTTCTGGGTGGCACATCTATGCAGGTGGTTAGCAATTCATTACACATAGTAATACTCTCTCACAATTCACTTGTACAATAATAGCCACTAACACTCTCCCATCTGAATCTCAATCTGCCTTTGTCTCATTCAGGTTAGTGGTACCTTATTTTTAAAATATGCTACTTCAGCAAGTAACACTGAGGTTCTTCATGGAAAACAAACCAAAATAAAACAAAAAAAGCAAGAAAATAATTTAATACTTATGTTTCCTCTAGAGCTTATTTATTCTTTCTCCCATTGTAGTTTTTGTGTCATACATGGGCCTGAAAATGTGACAGTGTGACCTTTGAAAAACAATTAGAAATAGTTCCCCTAAAACACAATAACAGTTACTTGATTTTTATTGCAACAACCAACAGAAACAGTGAACTGGGCCACAAATGAGAACAGCCACAATGTTAATACAGTCCAATAGTTTCTTCAAGTTGAAAATGCCTTCTATTTGTGCACTGCTATTTAGTATTAAAAAAAAAAAAGAAGAACAGAGAAAACAGCTCTAAAACTGGAAGCTTCTTTTAGAAGGGCTTTCATCGGGCTTTCAAAATCTTTAGGTCTGTATTATTTACATAGTCTATAAAAATGTGCTCTAATATATAGATAAACTAGAAAATAAATATTTTTCTTAAAACTGTATTCTCTGAAAACCTGATTTAGCTATTATGTATAATGGTTACTATAGTGGTTAATTTTGTTTTCATAGTTGGTACAGTAAATTAAAAAAAAAAATAACACACAGGCATCCACATATACATACCCTCCATATAGTTAAGCTAATTAAGTCTGAAAACACTCTTTGAAATGGAAGTTCTGATATGGCCAAAAATGTGCCTTTTACTGAAAGAAAAGAGTTCAGCACACATACTTGCAAAGGTGTTTACAAGACTTACATAAATTATGCAAAGCTATTAGAAAATTGCTTCCTAAACATTAAGCTTTCTTTGCTTCAAATTCAGTCAAGAAAACTGTTATTGCAACTCATACTGAAAATGTTAATAACTGAGCTAAATATAAAAAATCAAACCAAAATTAGGAATGTTTAAAACATGGGTGCCTTCGCCAGATCCAAGAGCATGCTCTGTAGGAAAACAAAGCAAAAATACAATTGCAGACAGCTTAAAGAAAATAATAAAGGTGTGAAATCACTGTTTCAGCTAACAGGTTCTCAGCATTTCCATGCATATGTTTGCATATTGTTAGTTTCATATTTTAATCTCTCATTTACACAACACATGCACATCATTTGTATTATGTAAACTTCAGCAAATATTAGTCATTTGTGGATCATAGAGCAAATGTTTTAAATGAGGTGATTTAAACCATTTCTCATTATTAATGAACACTGATCAGGTGTCTGCGTATCCAAAATTGCATGAATATGCATGGTGAAACCCAAGGAATTGTTTATAAAGAACTTGCCTTTTGACACTCGCTGTGCTGTGGCTGAGGTTTGAGATGTATACAACTGTAGGCAGTACCTACCAGGTTGGGCACCAGGGCTGGACCCCAAGAGGCCACACCATTTTATTCGACTGATGTGTTCAACAAGTAAGATTCCTGGTCCTGTTTTATTGCCTTCTCGGCTAGAATGGCTGCTGGAGGAGATTACAATCTTCTTTATGTAATCTGATTTCTATTTAAAGATGATATAGCCGAAAAGGATTTGCATAATTATTTCCATAAGTACATGTAATATCAAAGGGAATCCAGAGTCCAATTTGCTAGTCGCTGAAACCCAGTACGCACGACTCCCTTTCTTTTGTCAAGTGAATTAATAGACTGAGGGAGTCCTCTAGCTGTGTGTCACTGTGCAGGCACAGCCAGTACTGCTCATCACCTGCTCCAGGCTGGCACAGGCTGCTGCCTGGGCTGGGGATGTTCCTGGGCAGTGCAGGACTGATGATGAAATAAAACACACTGCATGTTTCATAACTACAATTCTCTTGTTAACTTAGAAACAGAAGACATTTCATTTAATTTTAGACTAGATAAAATAATTCAGTGCTGCATAATCCAAACAGTGTGACAGATGTTATAAAAGGTTATTACATTAAAAACTAAATAAGCTAGGTTTTATGTACGTGCTGTCTTTGTGTAATCTACTGTATAAACAAGCATGACGAAATTGCTGATTGACAGAAAATGCATTATATAGTAACAGTAAAAGATGAGAGATTTCAGTTGATTATCAGATGTATTGGTATATGACTGAAAGTCAGCATTGTTTCACTTCTGGATATTTAACATGCAGTGCATATTTTAAGTTAAGGGAAGAGCTTAATGTACAGGAGGTATAGTTTGAGAACAGATAGCATGAGATGCTATTGCTAATGCTATTTTTTAATCCATTAAACACCTACACTCTGAGCAGTTGCATGGAAAAATTAGCTACCAGCTCTATCAGTGCTGCACAACCCTAGTCTGGTAGTACTACTTAATCCTGCGGTGAGAAGATAATTTAATCTTCAGATGCATTCTTTCCTCAGCTTTAAGTGAGCAAAGACTGCTCTATTGTGACAGTCTGTGGATGTTATAATATAGATTACTGTTTAATAGCCAAAAATGAGATTAAGGAAGTTAAGGTCACAGGTTTCTTACCATAACCACAATAATAAATAAATGGGTAATATTTAATTTCCCACAACACCTGTCATATAAACTTGGAAAAAAAACCCCAAACAAAACTATACTGGAAAAACTGCAAAATATTTACAGCAAGATTAGCTGCATGCATGTCTGCCTGGTTTTGTGTTCCTGAGGATGCTCAAAACAAATCCAAAATGTTGTTACGTAAGTTAAAGAATTTGGCCTTTTATTCCTTTTCTCTTAATACGATCAATACTTCTCGAAGCACAAAGAAAGGAGTTAAAATAAATGCAGTACCATTTATCCATGAAGAAGTTTGGCAAATATATTTAAACCAAAAGAAGTTGAATTCCAAAACAAAGCAAGTTAAAGCTCTATTTTCCCTGATAAAAACATTCTAAGAAATCCAGGCAGGCTGATTGAGACACATTTTTCGACACTTTATGCTAAACTGTGGCTTTTTTTCTCTTTTTTTATTTTCTTTAAAAAATTATATAAAACATTTTTTGTGTGAAAAATCACACCCGAAAATTCTGTCCAAATGGAGACTGGAACAATGCCTTGTAACAGTGTTAATTGTCACCATGGAAACCAGAAGAATAAGCCATTTTGAAACTGGTATAGAAGGCACACATTGAGCAACTCAAGCATTTTTCAGCCTCCCTCGGTGTTAAGGAACAAGATGCCTAGTCACTGAGAGGTCAGAGAAAGAAATCATCATGAAAGGTTCGTAGATGTGCACTGTCTGGTAAACAATAAAAAAATCTGTACACAGTTAACAACTCTGTAAGACTGCGCACTGCATCTTTCAGAAAGAGAAACACCACAAAAAGATGATCAGGAGATCAGCAGATTCCACCCCTTGAGCAAAACTTTAGGGCAATATTATGCGAACCTTGCCCCTAAAGCTCCCTGGGAATTCTGTTGTTGTAATAAAACTTCAGAAGAGAAAAGAGAAAAAAAAAAAAAAAAAAGCCTGCATGATGGAATTCAAAATAATGCTCTAAAAGCACACAGAGAGATTAAGACATCCATTGTAAGACTTTTGTATGGTGCTTCTGTTGGTTATAGTGAAAAGAGACCAGACATACTGAACACACAGTGGAGCTATGGCTACAAAGTACAGAAGAATTAAGCCAATGAACTTTCTCCATTACTGGAATAAGGGTGTGCTATTTGTAGATGTTCTGCATTCCATCATTCACATGCTAACAAAGTATCTTCAGTCACATGGCACTGTAGGATATACAACTGAGATCGGAACTGAGTGACCCACAACCTTAGTTTTACCTGCATTGAAATTCTAAATTTTAAAGATTTGCCTTTTGGGGTGGTTTGACTGTGGCAGAAACCAATAAACACAGACATATAACCTCAGTGTCTGCATGTGAATGCACAGTCAGCAATGGCTCACATTTGCAAAATATACTGCATGCATAAAATTGAGTAAATTATATTCTGCAAGCAAATTCACCAAATATGTAAAATAAATATATACATATATATAGACATATGTACACATACACATATACACACATATATATATGCATGCATAGCAATATTTGTCCATCATCTCTTCACACACATTCTCACTTTGCTTTCTGGATAATGTTTGCACTCTTCATGCTAGGCTTCATGGTGGCCCCTTAGGAAGCCCATGCCTAATGCCATTCAGTGGTGAACAAAGAGTCTTTTTATTCTAAAGTCCAGGGTCCAAAGCTCAGCTGTATACAAGCAAAGTGAAGGAATCTGCTAGAGGCCAGCCTACCCTTCACAATAGCTCTTAACGCTTCTACCTTTTTGGTACTGTCAGTGTGAAACATTTTAGACACTGTCCAGGAGCTTAGTTATATTTCTTACATTGTCAATAGCATTAGAACCTCTGGCCAACATTCAAGATCTGGGCAGTGTGATCTGTCTATATGAAAAGCAGTTTCTGTTTCTTGCAAACTTCATGTATTTCTGCATTAGCAATTTATGGCAAATAATTGCGCAGAGAAATTATAAAGACTCCTACAATTGTCCTTGTAAATTAATAATAGGCTTTCTTGATTGGGATAAATTTGCTGCTGAGCCTTTGGAAAAATTAAAAAGTGCAATGTCATTTAAAATTGCCAGAACTCACAGAGCAAATTACATCTGAGGTTAAGAATCAGGTTTTCCTCTTCTAGTTTATTCCATTTGCATGATC